GTGCRGAGGAAGAGCTGCCCTTGCTGCTCTTTCTGCATTTATTGCCTGCACCTCTTCCACAGTCCTGTTTTCAGCCTCTGGATGATAAGGGGCCTCATTCCTTCTCTTCTGTTGCTGTTGYTGTCCTTGGCCCCTAGCTTGGGCCCTTAAATCCAATCGCCTAGGAGGTGGTGATTGAGCCTCCAAAGGCACCGCCAAACTTGCCTCCAAATGCACCTCTGAAGCCTCCAAATTAGCCTCCAAAAMGCACCTCCAAATGAGCCTCCACATTCAGCGCCGGGCAAGGTGTCAAAGCAGCATTATTTTCCAGAGTAGATCAAGCCTCTGAATGAGGCGCTGGGCTAGGCATTACAGAGGCATTAGYCTCCACCAAAAGAGGTGCTGGGTGAGATACTGAAGCCTCACAAAGAGCCCCCAAATGAGAGTGAGCCTCCAAATTAGCTGCTGAATTAGCCTCCAAACACACCTCCAAATTCAGCGCCAGGCAAGGCATCAAAGCCACAGTACTTGCCAAAGTCTCCAGAGCAGCATTAGCTGTAGTAGCAGCATTGGCTGTTGTAATATGTTGCTGTAGTAGTAGTAGTTGTTGTTGTTTGTACTCTAGTACTAGTAGTAGTACAGTACTAGTAGTAGTAGTGTAGTAGTACCACAACCTTGAAGAATGGGGATAGTAGGATTTACTAAGTAGTGGTAGGCCTTAAGTGCTACACTAACATGCTGAATGACAAGTAAAATGTTTTGATCATTAAGTCTACTAGCACTTGTTGGAATGTTAATTCTAACAGTCAGAATATTTGTTTTTGTAACTTGATTTCAATTTTTGTRCATTTTGCACCTACTAGTAATTCTTGTGCCGTGCGAATGCCATGATCGACAGATTTCACGGGCAAATAGAAATATGAGTGCCCGTTGGTCGCCATGCGCTTAAAGGAAACCGTTRCAGTCTGCTGAAAGTAYCGATAAATATTTTTTTCGATAAAAGTTTTCAAAATTTCTTTCACGATATTCGTCGTTTGTTGCAGCTTTTTTTTCTTTTCTGATCGATTTGCTCTCATGACGGATTATCTGCACTACTGTACTGTGGATGTCGTATGGACTGATTCAMTCTTCGTCGTCACCTTTTATTCATCGTGAKTCGCACAGTTCGCGTTATTACTTTAGCAACTTGAAAGGATTTGCAAAGAATAGARGACAAACAAGGTGTCAATTTTTCACACCATGTATTCCCGCAAGGAAGTACGTTTTTCGGATGCACAGGATGGCAACCCAACGGCTTCTTTTTCTGACATACAAAGATCGGCTCAGCAAATATCAAATGCGATGAAGCACTATAGACGTCCCCTGAGTGGAGTGAGCTCCTGGTCGGCACCTCCTTATACATCACGGTCGAATTCAAAGATTGCGAAGACTTCACCGCCTCCTCCACCGCCACCGCCCATCAGGAAAAGATCCTCTACGCCATCACCGTTAAAGAAGAGATCACCTACCCCTCCACCGATGAGGAAGCGCTCACCTACACCTACTCCGATAAGGAAGCGATCACCTACTCCTCCACCAATGAGGAAGCGATCACCTACTCCTCCACCGATGAGGAAGCGATCGCCTACTCCTCCACCGATGCATACAAAGAGATCTACGGCAACTCCGCAAATCAAGAGATCTGCACCAACACCTCCACCACCGCCTCCTCCACCTCCACCAAGAGTTGGAATGAAACAACCAACTGCAAGGCCTCCTGTTATATCCAAAGCAGTGTCGGAGAATAGCGATCATTATTTCTCACCATCGAGTAAAAAAAATGAAAACGATGATGGCATCGATAATGCCAACGGGAATAGGAAYCTTGAAAATAATSAAGTGTTCGTGACAGCTCCTGCCCTAACAATACTSAGTCCAATGTCAGGTATCACGAACGTTACTGATTTCAACAGTCCATCAACATCGACTCTGAGGAAAAGAAGYGTTATTSCTCTMGATACAACACTGAACTCCATTGATATGCTTAATTTTGAGTATATTGAAAACTGCACTTGTTCGCATACTCTAAAACGGATCATTCGTCTATTGAGCGAGTCAAAGAATAAGTCTCCCCAGCTCGTGAAGACTGCGATCAAAAGGCTAACAATAGCTCAGCAACAAGAGACTACATCAGCAATGACAAAGAATGTGCCGATTGTATCCTCATCCTCATCTATGATAAACAAAATAGTCAGTGATGATGAAAAAAGGGAAACTTCGTACTCCAATAAGGACGGCTTAGCTGCCAATTTATCTCGAATCACAACTGCAAACACTACTTTGGATTCCATCGACCCGTGCAAGTCTTCGCTAAACTTTTCCTTGTCGCCATCCTCAACATTACATGGAATGGATTTTATTGAAAATTCAACCCCAGATTTGAAAATGTTCGATAGCGGAAGGGAAAGTATCGACCGCCGTTTAGGYCCCATTGTGGAATCTCCTATGCGACTTCCACTTCAACCCCCTTGYTTAACTCKTCATTCCGATCAAAGGGACAAGGATATCCAAATTTCTGCGTCGCCAAAGTTTACTCCTTKTACAACTCAACAGATTAAAAACCTTCGAAAATCTTTGGATGAAACAAATTCTGATAAAAAAWTGCTTCTTGCCGAAATCCGTAAAGTTACGAAAGAAAACGAGGACAAAACAAGAACCCTAGATATAACTCGGGCTGCCCTTTGCAAGAAAAACGACGAGACAAGRGCCATTGAAGAACGGCTCGAATCAAAAATCACAGAGCTTAGCCAGGTATTGGCAGACACGACAGCACGATCGAAGTTGGTTATCGAAGGGGAGCGTACGTATCGCAAGCAATGTGAAGAAGAACTATCAAAGGAAAACAAGAAGAATGCTGAACTTATCCAGAAATTAGAGGATACTCGTGTCAATCTTGAGATATTACAAAAGAGACATTCGTCGTTTCGTGTCGAATTGCTGAAAGTCACTGGAATTAGTAAAACAGAGCGTAGGGGTCTATCGCAACGAGAATTTCTCACTTCACTGGCCAAAAAGATTGAGACGATGAAAAATGACAACGATAGGATGGCTCTGACTTTAAAGCAAGCCAACAAGGCCATCGAAGAACGTGATATGATGGAGATAGAAATGAATGATGCGTTGCAGGAGAAACAGAAGCTCGCGATAGAAAATCAAAAACTCACCCAGAAAATTCATGAATTGCGGGCTGAAGTAAAGAGCAGTCGAGCGTACATCGATAAGTTATTGAGAACTTCTCACGAGTCCAAGGAAGAAGATTGGGAGAGACACGAACTCCAATACAAGCAAGTAATTCATAATTTGCGTAAGCAACTCCTGAAACAAGATACAGTCGTCTCCATTGACCTTTACAAGGCAGAGAAGGACAAAGTCCGAGAGAAAGTRAATCAGCTTCAAACTGCWGAGGGCAGAATCAATAGCCTGCACATCAAGCTTGCAGAACTACAGAAAGAAAAAGAGTTATTTTCGAATTCAAARCGATCCCCGAAAGGTGTTCATGAATTCTTTGTCGACGACCAAAATGCCCAAACGCCAAAGAACAATCGGAGAGGATCACTGACTCCAAAAGKRAACACTGGCATGGAAAAAAGCAAAGACGACCTAACTGGMATCACAATCACGTTCAGAAGTCCCGAGTCTAACAATGCTTCTCGCCAGAAAAGCACATCGCCGAGAACAGGAGAAATGTATCAGCGTGAATTAGGCGTTAAACAAACCAGAGTTGTTGAAACAATGAAAGAAAAGAAGCCTCGCGTCCTTAGGGAAGTCAGACTGAATTCGAATCAAAATAAACAAACAAGTCGTGATTCAACTCAGCGAAACGGACTYACGAAGAAAAGCACACAAGTAAAAGATTTCGGCGAGTATTTTGATGAAAACTGTAGAAACGAGAATAATTTCGCTTCGAAGAATTTTTCTCGTGCGTCTCCTCTGCAATTGGTGAGAGACCTAGGTGGTCGATCTGCTCTGAAGGACAAAATTAAGAAGATGCGTTCCCCCAAAGCGTCGAAATCTCCCTTYGCGTCGAACCAAGTTCAAGTAATTCATCATTGAACACGCTGTGTATTTGAAAATAACATGTATGATTGTACCTTAAAAAAATGAACTAGAGCAAATATGATCAGAAGTATYATTTTATGTTTTGAGCGGATCTCATTGATCTAATTCTTCTGTCTCTACGAGGCATTTTGTACTTTCGCACCATTTCAAGAAGGCCCCCCAATATTTGTCCCCCTCTGAAAGTGTGTCTTTGTCTCCAACGACTAGAAGTGCTGACTTGGCTCGAGTCAAAGCAACATTCAATCTTCTCCAGTCGGTCAAGAAGCCTATGTTCCCTTGGTGATTCGATCGTACCGTTGAAAATATTATCACATCRCGTTCTCTTCCTTGATAGCCGTCTACAGAGTTGACTTCGATTATAGCAGATGTTGATCGAACTAACGAGATAATATCTCGATCATCGGCCAATAGACTTTTGATGAGGTGGACTTGTCCGTTGTACGGAGAAATGATGCCGATCTTCTTTGCATCGTGAGGRTTGTAMTTGTGGTCAAATTCCAATATTTCCTTTACCAGTGATACAACACGAACTGCTTCGACTTCGTTTCTATAGGTGGTAGACGTGTCTTGTGCGATGGAATTGGTATTGGAACTGAACACTGTTTCGGTGTACTGATTGCTTTCCCCCTTCATTTCATTGCACCGCCCTCCAACATCTATCATTCTCACACCAACCGAGGGATCAACGCACGGCATCATTTCGCTCAAAACGGATGGGAAAGGTCGCTGGCCAGCAACAGATGCAGGCGAGCCCAATAGACCATCGTAGAAAATTGCTGACGAGAAAGCGGCTATAGATGGGTGCATTCTATACTGAAGGCTCAAAAGCAGACACCCAGCAAAGCGCTTGCGATACGATACGTTCGCGTTATCTCGAGATTGCGATATCAAGTACGACCTCGCTTGCTTGGCCGGAAGTGCATCTGCAAATTCCAAATCTATTTGGATGTTTTCTTGTTTCATTTTGATCCTTGGCGCCGGCAACGTAGCTGCCAGTCGCTCCATGAGGGACACGGAAAACGACGACCYTGGGTCACTTTTCACCGTAGCCGGGAGTTGGCAAGGGTCCCCCAGCAGGACAAGGGACCTGCAACTGTTCGAGGCTGTGAGGGGTATCAACGTACCGGGTTCGACGCTTTGGCATGCCTCGTCAACAATGACAAACGGCAAACTCAGCGGTGGCAAGCCATCGGGTGCGATGGTACGGTCTACGGGCTTGTCCGTCCCCGATTTCGGAACGGCTTGGCGTTGCTTYGTGCGGTCGCCGTTCGCGTGCCTCTCCTCTCTTTCCAAAAGCTCGTCTGGGTCGGCGTTCAAGCCACACGCTGCCATCAGACGTGGGTCGGCGGCTCCGGTGCACGTCGATACGATGATGTCGGCCTCGCGCATTGCTTTCGTCGCGGCAATGTTGCAGGCCCRGATCGATCGCTTGACCGCCGTCGTAGCGATCTCCTGTGCCGCTCGCTCGCTCATCCCCGCTCCGTTCGAGTTTCTGTTCTTCTTGTCCTTGCGGATCTTCATCAAGGTTGCTGTCGCACTGGCAGCCGATTGCATTGCTTTTCTTGCGTCTGGATCGGCGTCGATGGCCGCATCCAAAGTAAAGTCCCAAAGACCTTCCGATATGGCCGATGCTTTTCCGATTCTTACTACCTTGAGGCCGAGTTGGAGAAAGCCCTCGGCAAGGTTGTCGGCACCTGCGTTCGAAAAGGCGSAGGCAAGAACCTTCGCGTTGGGCGAGAGTGAGCGGCACTTGTGGGTGTAGCCAAAGCCAATGACGCTTGCCGTGGTTGTCTTTCCCGTTCCCGGAGGACCTTGGATCAGCGTCAATTTCCTTGTCAGAGCTGCACCAATGGCAGCGAGTTGTGGCGCATTGAGGGGCTTGAATGCCTTGTCGACACCACTGTTCGCCTGGACGTAGTTCAAGACCTGGTTTGCAAGCATCACCGACGACGGCATGGGTGGCTGCGAAAGCCGTCGCTCGAGCGAGACGAGGTCGACCGAGTCAACGTCGTGGAACATGGGGCTCGTGGGATCCGTGAAAGAGTGCGACGAAATGACGGCCTCTCGCAACAGGTCGTCCATACAGATATTGCTATACGGCGCGGCGTTGGTGTTTCTGGCGTCGTCCGCCTTCGACTTCTTGGAATGTTTCCCGTCGCCGCGCTTCTGGTCGGTCCCCTCCGGCGACGGCTGGGGTTCGCGTTCGGGAATGATCGAGATCCTGGTCAGGGCTTCCACCATGCGCTCGTAGGGAATGCTCGAGAAGAATCGATCGGCCCGGAGGCGCATCGAAGGATCGCCCCTTCCGGACGGCCCCTCGTTGTTGGGAGCGGGCCCGAAGTTTGCTTCAAAGGCGCCGGCGTTGATGGCAACGTCGATGTAACCGGGGCCTCTGTTGAGGACGCGGGCTTCGACCCGGGTCGAAGAGCTGCTGGTCGGCAGGTGCCGCGGATCGAAAAAATCTCCGCTRCCCAGTGGTTGTAGCGTGAGGAGAATGACGTCGTTTTTCGAGAATTTGTTGTTGGGGGGCAGGATTTGGTTCCCGTTGCCGTCTTCGGCACTGGTAGTGGCGTCCCCCGCCTTGGTGAGCCGATAGATTTCGTCCGAGAAGAGGCTTCCACGCCGTTCGGCGTACATGTCCAACAAGGCGTGTCCGGCCAGTTCTGCGCATCAAACGGCAGGAGAGAAAAAGACGTGAGGGGGRTCGAACCGCAGAACAAGGTATRCCAGCTGCGGGCGTGTCCTATAGCCCAACCGACGCGACACAAACAACGCGACACAACCGATGCGATCGGAACCAACTCACCCAGMCCTAGTGGATCGTCGATGGACGATTTGATGCGTTCCGTCACCTCTTGCTCCTGCGCAGCGCCACAAAGGTTCGATAGGCGTGAAAAAGAAATGAGTCGAGAAARCAAACCGAGCGCGGCTCGATAGCGCAATCCGCCGTTCGCAAAGACGATTCAGCGTGCCGAATCCGTCCGGTCCGTTCGTCTRGTGGCAACTGTTACGTACCTCGGCCTTGTATTCCTCGGTGAGAAAGTTCAAAAACTTGTTGTGGTAYAGAGAGAGGCTGTTGTAGAGCAGCGATCGCTTTCTGGATCTCCCTCTCCCCCCCGATTTTATCCTTGGGTCGATCCGATCGCTCGTCCTCCGCTGCTTCCATTCTCCCTTTTTGGACATGGGCGAGCTGGTGATGGTGACTTCTCGCCGCGACAGGTTCCCCAGGATCATGTCCTGGGCCAGTTCTTCTCCCCCCCGCTGCATCCGACGGGTTCTTCGGTCCGAGGCCTTTTGCTTTCTCATGGTGATGCATCCACGGGCCGGCGAGGACCCCCCGCGGCTGCCGCTGCTCGCGGGCCCCCGTTCCGGCTCCRACGGCCGCAGCTTCGTTCCGTGAAACCCCGAGAGCGACGAGACGGAAAACCCGAGGCAGGACGGGTGGGAGGCAGCAATCGCCGCGAGAAGGAATCGCAGGGTGGCGTTCATCGTGCGCTGAGATGCGGTGCCGTGCGGTCTGGTGCGGTGTGGTCTGGTGCGGTATGGCTCGCAAAGGGAACCAAGATTCTCTCCTTGTGGGGAACGCTGGTTCCTTTTTGTGAGATTCGCAGCGGAAGAATTCGGGAGAAACCGATCAAAAATGTGATTGGTGTGATTCGCTCTAAACTCTCACCTTCCTACCGTACTCGTACTCGTACTCGTACTCGTACCGCTACGACCATCACAATGCGGCGCCGCGTCAACCGAAGAAAATGAAACAATCGAAGCAAAAAAATACTTAGCGCGAAAAATATCCTTCCCCACAGGAACGGTACTACACGTACGTACGTACTTGAACGGCGTAGCAAACCATACCGATCAGACTGGTAGTGCGAGATTCCCAATAGACATGATGTGGTGCAGAATTTGTTAGAGAATTGTTAGAAGAACATCGGAGACAAAAGCAGCTGGAGGGAACGAATTAAAACTGCAAACTTCCATCATGGTKCGTACGAGTACGTACGAACGTACCTTACGTACCGGTGCGTACATCGTACATGGATATAAGTACGAAGTAATATGTATTTTAGATATGTATGTAAGGTATGATACTTCGCACTTCGGTAGAGTAAAAAAATGCCAAATCACAGCATTTCTGCCAAAATAGAAAAGTACCGATTTTCCCGTAGCATCCTTCAGTTTCAATTCAATCTTTGGCACAAGTATCGAAACAAAGACAACGGAACGGAAGGGAACGGAAGAGGGACAACCATGGACAAGTCACGTTTCGCCTTTTGAACAAGTTTGTACGGCAGCAGCACACCGCCCACCAACCAACTACACACAACTACACACCAACTACACACCAACTACACACCGCCCACCAACCAACTACACACCAAACACAAACACAAAGACAAACACGCACTCTCAGCGGTAGCAACAAGAAGCGCAACGATCGACATGAGTTCCGCGGAGTTTGTCGAGGAGCGCGTCGCCTTCGCGGCCGATCCGAAGAAAGAAAACCGGTTCCTCCCCCGGATTTCCGTCACCAAGACGGTCGGCATGGGAAGCACCGGGACCTCGGGGAACGTCGAGAAGAGTTTCCGGCCCTTCGAGACGGAGGACGTCTCCCGGGTCCTCGACTTTGAAAACGTCCCGGACCCGCCCCCCGACGGCCCGCTGATGCACTGCGAAAACGAAACGGACTTTCCGAGCCGCCACTTCGCCCTGCGCGGCGGATTCCTCCTGTACTTCGGCCTGGGGGACGTCAGCGGAACGGGAAGGTCCCACTACGTCACCTACCACGGGCCACCCAAGGGGGTCATCCCCCTCGACAAGGTGAAGATCGAGCTCCCGCCCGGTGGACGCCGCGTCTTTCGCGAACACTCCCAGACCAATGCCAGGACGGGCTACGAGCTGGCCATTCTGCACAACGAACGGCCGCCGGCCTTTGTCGTGGCGGAGAGCATGGCACAGAGGGACAAGTGGGCGAAGGCCATCATGGCCCGATCGGGAATCGAAGAACCCACCAAGCTAAGAGCGGTTTCGACCTTTTCGGCGGAGGATCCCTCCCTCTTGACGAAACCCGCGGAACTCCTCCAGCAAAGCATGAAGAAGAGGGCRTCGCTGGCGGACAACGGCTCCGACATGAACCCCAGCAGGAGGTCGATGAAAGAAGTCGGCAAGCACAAATCGACGAGAAAGGGAAAACGGATGTCTCGCAGAGACAAGAACAACGGCAACGTCAGCGAAGACGTTACGATCCAGGAAGTCTTGCAAGACTTTGGCAAGAAGAACTTCTCGGAAGAGGCCTGGATCGACAACTATTTCGAGACTTACAACGAAGTCGATTCGGCCGACCGGTGCCGTCTCATGGAAAAGCAGCAGGAGGCCATCAAGCGTGGTTTGAAGGCGGCCGTGTTGGAACAATACGAGTACTTTGTGGAGGCGTCCGGAGAAATGACCAACATGGGAAGGGAGGTGGTCGACCTGAAAACCCTGGTGGAAACACAGGTAGAGACCATCAAGGAAATGAAAGAGATTGATTTCTCGGGTGCCATCTTGGATCCGGCCGAAGACGAAAACGCCAGCGACGGTGGTGATTTGTTCCAGGAGCGGAGGAAGGGTGCCCGCCGCAAAAAGGGAGGCCGGTACGGTGGCGACCACGATTCGGACACGAGCAGCGTGTCCTCGGACGAAGACGAGGCGCTGCGAAACGTTCACAATCTCTCGGCGACCTTTGGGAGGGTGCCGATCCCGGAAAAGATCACCATCGASATCCCCCCCCACCTGGACGACGTCGTGGAAGAGATCTTGGCGTACGTCAAGGAGAGCCGGTACTCGGAGGGGACGGATCTCTGGGCAAAAACGAAGCAGGAAGTCGCAGAGCTCATGCAACTGGTAAGCAAATGGGTCTTGGAACCCAATGGAAAACTATGCTATGGTGGTTTGCAGGGAGCGCACCACAACTAATTTTTTTCGTTTCGTTTGCAACCTGTTTTTGTCGTCTTCTGTGCTTTTGTGTCTGTCGTCTCCATCGATCGTYCRCGGCTGCCCGTCAGCACGAAAAACCAACGGACCAAAAGCTGACCAAGAAACAGTACAACCAAATGCAGACCCTCACCGAGAAATTGGGCGAAYTGTCGGAAATGATAAGCAACCGTGTYGTCGAAAACCTGCGCCGAAAGAACGAAGCACTGAAACAGGCATCCAAGAGAGAGCGAGCCGATGCATCTGCCCACATGGTGCCGTCCGTCTCGCCCTGCTGTCTAAACGACGATTCCATCTCTCTGCGGCTGCTCGTGAAACTCGGCAAGAGCCAAGAGGCAGCAACTGCGTACTCGGCACGGCGGTCTTTGTTGTTGCTGGAAAGGTATGTGCAGCCCGGATTCTGTTCTGTCGGCAGAGTAYTTCTGCGTGCGTGCAGTGGCAACTTCAGATTGGCACCACGGACCGCARCCACCAGTGACTCGTTGTCTAAACCCTTTTTTTTTGTGTCGTGTCTTTGGTTGCAAACCGTTGCCTTGCTCGGAACCAGCATTCACGAGCGTCCGCTCACGGGAACCGGCAACGTCGACTTGGTGATTTACGCGGCGCAGCTCAGCCAGTCGTTCTTTTCCTGCCTGGCGGGTGCCATCGAAGGCTTCCTCGATCTCTTCTTGTCCTCGGCCCCGACGTCGGAGAAGTCCSCWCGGAGCGACGAAATGAGCTTCGACGCGAATTCCATCAATTCCAACGCACTGACCATGAGAAACCTGCCGGCCGGAGCCCTGGCCTCGATCGTGCTGTGGTGCGATGGCGAGCTGGCGAAATTTGCCGCCGCCTTTGGTGGAACCCGTGTCCTGGGAAACCTTGCTCTTTCCCCGCCGTCGAGGGAAACGGCGACCGCTCGGAGGGGCCCGCGCGTCCTCGGCCAGAACGGCAAGGGCACCGGCGACGGGCCCGGTGCGGGTGGAAACAAGGATCGACAGAGCGCCATCGAGGTGGCCGCCCAGTGCGTCGAACAGGCCTTTCAGTACGCGGCAGAGAACCTAGACGTCGTGGGACTGCCCCTCTCTCCCCGCCTTGCGGAGTCGCTGCGGAAACGATTGAAAGGATGCGAGGCGGAGGTCGCCAAGCTGCTGGACGAGCAATGGCGACCCATTGTGCTGGAATGGAGTATCTCTAGGAACGACGACCACATTCCCATGGACGAACGCTAGGCAACGAGTGCGCTGCCGCGGTTTCGCGAGTCGAAACGAAACGAAAGCTACCACGTTGCAACCGTGAAATGCCTTCGAAGGTTTTACGCATAGATCACTGCCAAATTCAATTATTCGCTCGTGGCACTTCCATAATGTTCAACATTATTCTATTTTACAACAATACCGTACGTACGGGTAGGTTGGAGTACAAATCTGGAAACAAAAATACTGCTAATACTTTTAGGTTGCATCCGCATCAAAAACGAGTTGCCTTTTTGTTGGTTTTATATGAGTTCCGGGTCGTCGCCGTCGTAGTCGTCCATCCCAACCATTTGCATATCCCCGAGGACCATGTCCACCCGTGTGCTCTGCAGACGAAGCCGTTGCTTTTCCCTCCGCAACTTCCATGCCTTGCAAAACTTCCAAAAGACGAGAAGCGCCACGGCCCCCACGGCAACCGCCACCAGCAAGATRTTCAGCGGAGTGAAAAAGCCACCRCTGCCCACCGACGGCGAGCTCGAAGAAGMAGTGTTCGCGCCCGACGACCAAGCCGGCGACGTCTTGTCGTTGTAGCTATAGGTGGGTGCCAATGCGCCCGATCCCGGTCCGTTGGCCGGAAAGACTCCTCCGCCAGAGGCAGAGGGAGCCTCGGCGCTCGTGGGGGAGGAGAAGCCGGTCGGTGACACGGGTGTCACGGAGGACGGAGCCGGTACCGACGATCCAGCAGGGGAAGAGACCGCGGTCGGTGCCTTGGGAGCCGTGGGCGACGGGATCGGTTCCGACGAGATCGGTTCCGTGGGAGCAGTCGCATTTCCCTCCGCGGTGGAGGTTTCGGTTGCGTTGCCACCACTCTGCAAAGATCTTTCTTTTGATAACAGGTCGTTCATGCTTGCTTTCTTGTCCGTTTGGTTTGATTGAGACTATCAAAAAACAAGCTTGATCCAGAGATATCTATCGTGGTCTTGTTCTGTTACGGTACGGTAGAACTCTGTAAATGCAGCAATACGATCATAGTTACCTGCTACGATACTACGTTCCTGTTCCTACAATACTAGAAGTCAGTACAGTCAAAATAGGCTAAGTCGTGTTGTTTGGACGAGTCTGTAACGGTCATTCGCCATTCAAAAAGTCTTCCTGTAGTCTGAAACGAAATGAACTTCCGTACCGGTACGTTGCCGTTCTGTTCGGGTACGATACGTAGATAGAAATACAACCTGAGATACACAGTACGCTACGAAGTCCGTAAATCCTAACGTACAGGCGTGCTGAGCACCCCAATTTCCTTACACCCAAATAAATCAAAGTCCATCTAGGATGGCTTCAAACTAATGGAGAATAAATAAACTCAAAAAAACTGTCTGCAAGTACAATCTAAGAGATCTTACTACTTTGTACTAGCACTACAATTTATCTCACCATAAAAAAGTGAGTCTTCTTACTGTGACGTAGTAGTACCTCCTTGCAGTTCTAGTAGTAGTAGTAGTAACCAATGAAACAGCAAGCAAGAAGAAGGATGGTGATGATGCTAGTAGTACTAGCTACTACTAGTAGTAGTACTACTAGTAGTACTAGTAATCATAGTAGTAGTAGTAGTAGTACTACTACTAGTAGTAGTAGGAGTAGGAGTAGGAGTAGGATTAAGAATACTGTTTACTACTAGTGTACTACGGCTTATAGTAGTGACAATCACTGCTACTAAAGGATGACCACCAGTTCCCTCTCCCCCCTACTAGATAGTACTACTATGTATCAACAGCTCCTCCTCTTATTGGCGTATTCGTCTTACTAGCAACTCCTCTTTATCAGAGTACATCCTCCATATCATCAGCAGCAGCTCCTCCTCTGTATCAGCAACTCTTTGATATCACCAGTAGCTCCTCGTCCTCTTATCAGCATATCAGTGGCTCCCCCTCTTATTGTACTTTCAGCAACTCCTCTGTATAACCATCCTCCATAGGCTACCAGCATCCAGTACTGTACCAGGAGCAACAACAAGCCTCCTCTGTATCATCAAGCGCCCTCCATATCAACAGCTCCTCTGTATCCTCAGCAACTCCTCTGTATCAGCAAGCCCCCTCTGTATCTGCAACTCCTCCATATTGTCAGTAGCTTCTTGTCTGTTGTATTGGCAAGGGGGGTCCTCTGTATYAGCATCCTCTGTTTGATAGATCTGCACCAATACTACTTTTCCCCTCCAAGCTTTGCTACTTTGTATTATAATGTGTATTTTTTGTTAGTGTTACTACWACAAAGCATTATGCTACAAATTAGGTAATAATTCTAACAATTTCAATAATCATACACATAGCCATGCCCGCTTGGAAGAAATGTACATAAAAAATTTATGTACTACCAAAACCTGGGGGTAYGGGTACATGAAATAATACAAAAACAACCAATATACAGGAATCAAGTGCAAAAATACATGTGTATAATTTTGGGTAYTTTAGAAATGCAGTTGGAAACAAATGGTAACTACTGCTGTACATCCAGTATGTACTCTGAGTTGTTCCATGACACAACAGGATCTTAGCGTTGATGATTCATTTAAAAAATATAGCTTGAAAACCACCCCAAAATCACAAATGTGATCTGCYCCCCTTGTTCCCAAACAGATTAAGTGCAACAGAGCATTTTTTCTTCCATTCTTTTCCAAAACCAAGTCTAAAAGTGGTGGTAATACACTGAACACATTTTGGACACCAGTGTGGTAGGTACAATTTGATGCTGGCATGAAGGCTTGGCTTTTGGTATTGCCAATTGGCAGGGCAGGAACAAGTGCTTTGGTGCAGCATCGCACAAGCATGCTCGGCTTGCACTGAGAAGCTTATTGGACCAGCAATCCAATGATACCTACTAGAAATCCCACCTGCTTCATCTAGAGACACTTTTTTGGAATTTTTGCTTTGGTTGGTTGAGTAAAAAATGCCAAGGAAGAACAAGTTTCTTGGTGGGTAAAGCTATTCTTTGCCCATCAGACGACGATGGTTGGTCTGCCTCTSTTAATCCTTTTGGATGGGATGGCTCTTCTTGTCTGTTCCTTCTACCTCGTGGCTGGATGCGGTTCGGTTTTGTTTCCTGCCTTTGTGGAATCMTAAAGAAAAGGTTAACAAGCAGCAGGTAAATTTAATTTAGCTCACAGTCCTATATTCTAGAGACTATAGTTTGTTTGAACGACGGGCAATAGATACCACACGACTACACGATATCAATATTTGCAAGTCTTCAACTTTTTCTKTATCCGAGTGCTTCTACTCTCTTGACTGCAACAATCYAAAGATGTACAATGGTGAACTCTCTGATCGATTGGTTGACTGGTTGTTGTTTATTCGTTCGAGTCCACTAGTACAGGGCTGTTCTACAAGTCATCCGTCATTTGCAGGACAATGTGTTCTTCCCCTGCTTTGAAGGCAGGTTTTCCCAGAAATGGGCAGCTCGCGCAGCGAAAGGCATCGCCGAGGTTGCACTTGCCACAGTCCGAGCTGGGAACCTGTGGCCGCTGGCGCGACGAATCCGCCGCTCCCCTTTCTCCCGCCTGCTCCGCTTCGTAGATTTCCTTGCGCCCACACGAGCAGTTGTCGCAGGGCTTTCGCCCCGCGCAGTCATCGTCCTTTGTGGAAGCACCCATCGCTGGCGGCGGTGCCAGCACGTCGTCGTCCAGGAGGCCGTCCTCGTCGATCACGTCGTCGTCGCCGCCGCCGTCCAGTTCAAAGTTTCCCAGGTTCACGGTGACGGCGTTCTTTTTACGCAGGGGTGCGGCACCGATTTTCGGAATGACCTTTGGCTTCGTTGCCGTCAGAACCCGGCTTCCGTCTGCTTCGCGGCGTTCGCTGGCGCCCACCAACCCGGCCAAYAGAAAGGAGGTGTTGATCGGTTGCAGGTCGATTTTAGTGCTGTTCGAGCCCCGAATCTGGATGGTAACCACCGATGTCGGGGAGAGAAARGGGGCCCAGTTGGCCAGCTCCATGGGATTGTACACGCTTCCGAGTTCCGATCCATCTATAAAGACGTCGAGTTTTTCTAGCGAGGACGCAACGATGCCATTCTTGGCGGAAGCAATATCGTCTGCGTTCTTGGCGACAAACGCCCGAGAGTACGAGCTTGTGTCGCTAGCGGTAGCACTTCCCAGTTGGAGGCAAATGGTTGCCATTTTGGTCCCTCTCGATGAGAAATCGGTGAAAKCAGATATCAGACTTCGGTCAGTACGGGGCTGTGAATCCGGTTTCCCACGAAAAAAACGAAGYGCTTCACGTTGTAAACGAATGCGGTTGACAACTTCTGATGTTCAAATACAGWACCGTAGTGCTTTTTTATTTTATGCTGAATGTGTGGGTTCGAGTTGTTGCAGAATTTTGAAACACGAATGAGTTCGAGAGATGAGTATGAGGACATACCGCACGGTACTGGTACTTACGAATCCTACAGAGTGTTCATGAATCTGGGATGAATTAGTGGTGAAGGCCGTTYGTGTGCTGTTGGGTCATTCCCCTTACTATTCGAAATGCGCTAAACATGCTTGACTAGAACATTTAGCACATTCAGAATACAGTAACAGGAATCAAATTTCGATAGACAGACTGCAAGGAATGCTGGCTCTATGCCATCTTTTTGGGAACTTGGAATCTTAAATAGTTTGTGACAACTAAAAAGAGGTCTCCTCTCTTGTTGTTAGTAGTA